ACTCAAAATTTTATTAAGCAAAGTGGGTATGGTTTCTAAGCTAAAATTAATCTTTGCAATGAATTACATATAGGAATGTTATTAACTCAAAATCATGATTTTTGACATTTGGGTCGTTTCTATTGTCCATGCCCCATATGATTGCTAACTATATTTAACTATATATATATTTTTTTTTAGTAAATAAGTACACCAAATGGAATGTATTTGAGCAGCACATCATGACATATTTTTCATCATGTGTATATGCTGCAGGTTTTAGAAAAGCCAATGAAGAAAACTGTAGTCTTCAAGAAAAAGAAATTCGACATGTACAAACTGAAGGTCTATTCCAGCATTTATGTGACAATCATGATTTATGTTGGCCAGAAGTGTGCTGGATCAAACAAAATTCTGAAATGCAACTAAAAGAACCAACTCTCAAAGCATATGCACCTTTTGAGCGTAATCAATTCAAAATAATGTTGGAAACTATCTTTAAGCTTCCAGTCAGACAAGGAATTGGCACACTTACATGTACTTCACAAAATGAAGCATTCAATAGAATTAAACTTGTTTATACATCAAAACTAATTGATTACCCTGTATCATATCAAACAAGACACACACTTGCAATTCTACATAATAATGAAATGGTAAGTATATAGTTCACCAAGCTTGTATGGCACCCTTATCTCCACAAGATCTTTTTAATATAGCTAAGATTGAAGAAGGACGTGACAAACAACAGATAAGAAATTTAAATCAAATCACAAAACATAATGCTGAGAGAGCACTTGAATTGCAAAGTTTACGTGAAGACCTTAATTTTTTTGATTGGGACCAAGTAATTTATAAAGAAAGCATTTATATATTAATGTAATAGATATTATTAATTTTTTCCTTCCTCTGCCTGGCTTTTTTTAGGAATTAGTGTTTTATGGAAGAAAAGCTCAATTCCAACATCTTCCATCCTTCATTTGCCTCTCATATAACTGATTTTGATGAAACAACTAAATGTCTTGCATGTCATTCATTTCCAAAATGTACTGCCAGAGGTCTTTGTAAGTTATGCAGATTTTATGTTGATAATGGACTGAAGAGCCAAATTGTTGATAAAAATTATCAATCAAAAATTGAAGTCTTGGAGAAAATTGATTTAGAGACAATGTGTGAATCAGCACTTAATGGAATTTTTGGTTTTTCAGACTTTTGTGATGGACAAAAAGATGCAATCTTATCTTTTGCTCAAAATCATGATACTCTTGTTCTGAAACAAACAGGTGGTGGCAAAAGTCTGTGTTATGCTTTAGCATCAGTTATGACAGCAGGAATTATTGTAGTTTTTTCTCCATTGAAGGCACTAATTGATGACCAAGTCCTTGAATTGATCAATGCAGGAGTACCTTGTTGTGGTCTTTATGCGTCAACAGCACAACCAGTTCATTATCAACAAAAAGTCTTTCAAGAAATTTCATGTGGATTAACAAAGGTAATTTTTACAACACCTGAAAAATTCAAATTCAACATTGGATTTCGGAAAATGTTAGAAAGAGTTGGTTTGTTGTTGATGAAGCACATCGCATTTTAGATCAGGAACATTTTAGGTAATTTTTATAAATAAACTGCCAGAGGTCTTTGTAAGTTATGCAGATTTTATGTTGATAATGGACTGAAGAGCCAAATTGTTGATAAAAATTATCAATCAAAAATTGAAGTCTTGGAGAAAATTGATTTAGAGACAATGTGTGAATCAGCACTTAATGGAATTTTTGGTTTTTCAGACTTTTGTGATGGACAAAAAGATGCAATCTTATCTTTTGCTCAAAATCATGATACTCTTGTTCTGAAACAAACAGGTGGTGGCAAAAGTCTGTGTTATGCTTTAGCATCAGTTATGACAGCAGGAATTATTGTAGTTTTTTCTCCATTGAAGGCACTAATTGATGACCAAGTCCTTGAATTGATCAATGCAGGAGTACCTTGTTGTGGTCTTTATGCGTCAACAGCACAACCAGTTCATTATCAACAAAATGATACTCTTGTTCTGAAACAAACAGGTGGTGGCAAAAGTCTGTGTTATGCTTTAGCATCAGTTATGACAGCAGGAATTATTGTAGTTTTTTCTCCATTGAAGGCACTAATTGATGACCAAGTCCTTGAATTGATCAATGCAGGAGTACCTTGTTGTGGTCTTTATGCATCAACAGCACAACCAGTTCATTATCAACAAAAAGTCTTTCAAGAAATTTCATGTGGATTAACAAAGGTAATTTTTACAACACCTGAAAAATTCAAATTCAACATTGGATTTCAGAAAATGTTAGAAAGAGTTGGTGCCGACAATGGTATTAGGTTTGTTGTTGATGAAGCACATTGCATTTTAGATCAGGAACATTTTAGGTAATTTTTATAAATAAATACATCTTTTTCATATTGACTCATTTATTTATATTCTTGTTTATTTAGAGATTCATGGAGTTATTTGTGCAATCTTAAACAAAATTTTCCAGTTGCACCAATTTTACTTCTATCAGCCACATGTAAAAATATTGATGCACAAGAAATTGTGGCACGTCTTGGTATAAACCATCAAAAAATATTAGTAATTTGTGATAAATATTTTGGAAATAATTCAATTATTTTCCAAGTACAAAAAAGAAGGGACAATAAAGAACAATTCTTGGAAGATATTCTGAGGGCTATTAATGAAGTTGAAGTTGGAAAATGCATTATTTATTGTGCATCTGTAAAAGGATGTGAGAATTTATTATCAGATCTCCAAGACAAGGTTGCAAAAGAAATAATTACCATGTATCATGGTGAATTATCTGCTAAAGAAAAGTCCAGTGTGCTATTGCTTTGGAAATTAGGTAGAATTAAAATCATTGTAGCAACTAATGCTTTTGGAATGGGAATAAATGTACCAGATGTTCGAGTAGTTATTCATGAATGCTTTCCAATATCTATGAGTAAATACATATTTGTTTAAAATTTATATTCTAAAGTTTTTTTTCAATTATAGGAAATTTGATGCAAGAGAGTGGTTGTGCAGCACATGATGGATTACCAGCAAAAACAATAGTGATGTTCAATAGAAAAGATATTAGAACAGTTATGGGAATTTATTCAGGAAGACAGGAAAGGTAATGGGTTATTGATTTATTGATTATTTACCCATCCAAATTCTCATAAATTATAGTGAAGAATCTGAAGACTTGAACCATATCAGATATTAAATGAAGCAAAACATAAAATGAGAGAAGTATTATTTTATTGTTCAATGATTTATCAATGTCGTAAACAAGCACTTGTCAATTATTTTGCTTGGCCAGGAGATCCTATGCCTGAGGTATGTATGGTTTGTGATAATTGTGTACGGAGAATGGCTGATAATCCAAGTTTTGTAAATGTTAAATCAAATATGCAAAAGATGTTAGTAGTGTTCCATGTCGCAATCCAAAAAAGGAAACAAAATGGTCGTAAAGGTGGTTGCAACCAGTGGTTGCAATCATTTTTATATGACGCAAAGGTGGTAGCAACCATCATCAAAAGTTGCAGCCGGTATCCTTAGATGTTAGAGGTTATAGATGCAATTAGTAAGGTAAAACAACAGGTAAGTAGGAATGATGTTGTAGATGTATTTAGACAATCACAGGCAAAGGATATAAAAAATCAGTTTGGTCATTTGCCAGTATATCAGGAAAAATTTCCAAGAATCTTAAAAACAAAAGAAGATGCCTTTTTACTATTGGATGATTTAGTTTTACGTAAATTAGTTGAAGAAGATATTGTATTGACTAGGTCATCAGCAGGTCAAACTTGTGTTGGTAGTGTTTCTATTCTTGGCCTTACTGAAGATGCATTTGCAAAAGCCAATAATCAAAATTGGATATATCTGATAAAATAATTCTTTTTTTCAAAAAAAAATATATATATATAAACAAACACTTTTCAATATATATCAATAATTGCTTTTTTTAAAACCTTATTTCTGATGATTTATTCAAATTTAAAATATAAAAATTCTCATTTTATTTATTATCATGGTGTATAAATTTTTGATTTGTCACACACAAAATGATCATCATTGATTAAAAAAAATTTTGCCATACATTTCTATATGATGTACTGTGTAACCGAACTCTACCCTTAAGAGAGTAAAATAATAACACCACATATCTCAGGATGGAAATTCAACTATATAACGGCATTAAACACTATCTTACTAATCACCAACCTCCAAGAAATATATCTCCAAAATTAAGCAAGCAAATAATCAACAAAGCAAGTAATTTTCGAATATCTAATGACAAATTATATTTTATCCAAAACAATGAAGAACAAAGAGTAGTTAGACAAGATGAAGTAGAAAGAATACTGTTTGGAGAGCATTCAGATATTCTTGCAGGACATTTTAATGTCGAATCAACTTACCAAAGAATTAGAAGCAAATACTACTGGCCACGGATGTACAAAATAGTCAAACAATATGTAAAAAGTTGTGATTCCTGTCAAAGATGGGGAAAACCAAAGAGAACGAAAGCACTACATCCAATACCAGTAGGAGACCCATTTGACCAAGTCGGAATTGACATTGTTGGTCCATTAGCAGAAACAACAAATGGAAATTGTTATATTATCATAGCAACAGAATACTTAACCAAATGGCCAGAAGCTCATGCCATATCAGATACTAAAGCAAGTACAGTAGCAAAATTTATTTACAAAGAAATCATTTGTAGACATGGAGCACCAAAAGTCCTGTCAGATAGAGGATCATCTTTTCTGAATGAAGTAGTAGACTCACTTTGCAATGAAATGGGAATAAGACATGCTCTTGCATCAGCTTATCACCCACAAACAAATGGATTAACAGAACGTTTTAATAAAACATTATGCGAAACCATTGCAAAATACATTTTACAATATAATGGAGAATGGGATAGATTTGTTCAATCAGCTTTATTTGCCTACAGAACCAAATCACAAAAGTCCACAAAATTCACACCATTCTTCTTAATGTACGGAAGAAAAGAGAAAACTCCTTTAATGTTGGAGACAACATTTGAAGAGGAGGAAGAGCTTGAATGGCAAATTGATGAACATGTGAAACAGATCACAGAACGTTTAGGGAAAACAAGAGAGATTGCAAAGAACAATATTAAGAAAGCACAAGATAAACAAAAAGAAAAATTTGATGAAAAAATGAAACCACACAAATACGAGATTGGAGAAGAAGTACTACTCTTTGATAGTAGTTCTCAGAATGTCCATGGTGACAAATTTAGAGAAAAATGGATGGGACCTTTCTATATTCATGAAGCCTGGAAACATGGGACTTACAAATTAAGAAATATTGAAACAGGAATGGTTATGAGAAAACCAATCAATGGTGCTAGATTAAAACATTATTTCAGAAAACCAGCATGGGAAGCACAAATACTCATAGAGTAAATGAAGATAGACCATAAAAGGAATAACCTTGATAAGAAAACTCAAAACAGATGGAATTCATTGAGAGTAAACAATGATAAGAAGAACCAATCATTGTAAAATAGGAAGACGCCAAGATAAAAGATGGAAAACAAAAGAATTCTGAGAATGAAACTTTAGATTGAACATCACTTCTAATCTACTTTTCAAAACATTATTTAAAGAGAGAGAATTTCCCTAACTTTCAATCTTCACGGATCAGACAAAACAACAAAAATAAAATAATAAAAACCATTGAATGGAAAATTCAAATAATTATATACATTCAATACACTATAAATTAAATATACCCAAAAACAAATGACCTACCACAAAAGAAATTTTAAATTTGGACAAAGAAATTTAAATAAAAAGAATAGTCAGGTAAATAAAAATTATTTAAATATTTATAAATTTATACGAACAGAAATTCAGAAATGGCAAAAAGATTTAGACAAGTTAGAAAATTGGCAAGTAAAGTACTCCAAAAATTGGGAAGAGGAAATCAACTACAATCTGAACCAATTACTATTCTTGAACGACCAGATGCTAATGATGCCAACAATAATAATCAACAACCTAGTCTTGAAGAAGTATCAGACATACAATCAATTAATCGGGAACAAATACAGGGACAATTTCAAATTGTTAACAGGTTTGACATCGAAGAGGGACCTGAAATATATTATGGATTAGATCAAGTCCAAGATGAGGAACCATATGAATATTTTGAATATGAAGCAACCACTCCAGCATTAGTTTCAGAAGACTCGGATAAAGAGTCCGATGAAATAATTGAAATTGAAGAACCAAGTAATAATCTTGACAAATGGGAAGAAATCCCTAAAGAATTAGAAAATGATAATTGGGGTGACACCCCAGAAGAGACAAATAGTGGGAACCCATGGGTTGAGGGAAACACCCCAGGATCAGATAACTGGTACCCATGGAGCAGGGATTTTATCCCTCAAAATGCAACTTGCATAGAAACAACCAATGAAACTCAACAACCAACCACAACCTTTGTACCAATCACATTTTTAAAATACAAAAGACAACCATTACCTTGTGGTTGTGATAAAAGAAAACTTCAAGAAGCGGCCACCGATCATATGGCAAGAAACTTCTGCACTAGAAGGAAAAATTTTCATTGCTGCAAATGCAGTAGACCTCTAGCCAAAGATGAAGTTTATGAAGGAACAAATCATTACCATCAACTCTGTCGGTCTTGTGACAGAATAGAAAAATATGATATCACTAATGAATCATGGTATCATGAACCTTGTCAAGTGTGCGGACAGCCACTTGAACAGAAAGAAAATATTAGTTGGAACAATTATTGTTGTTCCACGACTTGTAAATATGCTTATTTAGCAATAATGAGTTCTCAGACCTTTGAACATATTCCTACAAGGGTTTACCATTATCTTAATACTGGAAGAGGACAATATCACGAAGTTGATGAAAGTGAAGTGCTGGAAAAAGCACAAAACTTTTATATAAAATTAAACGGTGAACGATATGATACTAGGATGAATAATAATCTTGAAACATGGAATGAAGCAAGAGATAGAGCTTACTTCGAAGCTCAAGAAGCTGTAGATTATCTGTGGGAAAGTACCCTCACATATTTAAATAACCATCATAATGAAGAATATATCTGGCAAATGAATGAATCTTTCAACAATAATAGAGAAGCTGCTATCTCTAGATTACCAACTATCCTAGATTTAACCGAGGATAATTTATGTCATAATTGCTATTTTCCATTTAGCAATGAAGACTTGAGACAAACTAACAATAGAAAATTTTTATGTATTAGAACAGATATGAATCCAGAACCATGTTGGATTGACCCCATAACTGATGAAATTAATAATATAATTGAAGAAGCACAAGAAGTCTGTGAGGAGGATTTTGGAAAAGAAATCCTTCGACATGAGAAAAATCAAAACCAATATTGCAAATGTTATGCAAAAACTCATCTCACGGAGAAACAAAAAGCTCAGTACCATAGAAGAATATGTCAGGATGGAAGAAAGAAATTCTCATCCAGTGGAAATTGATTTTTGTATTTATATAATATGCCTAAGTAATATAAAAACTTAGACTCAGTGAAAGTCTGAATAATCATGTATTAATTAATTATTAGTTACTAGATAAGAGAAATTCTTAGAATCTAAAATTTGTTCTGAAAATTTATTATATAAGTAATTCCTTTTCATCTTGAATCAAATTACTTTTGAAAATATTTTTTTTACTATAATTATTGAAAATGGCACCTGTTAGATATTCATCACCAAGTAGAAATCAAAATGAAAATAATTCTTCACAAAATTTACATAATACAATGTTTTGAAGAACACATTGGACAAGTGAACCTAATAATATGAATTGGGAATCATACCATCGTTTACAAAATCAATTACAACAATTAGAAATGGAGATATTAAATTGGGAAATAGAAATAACAATTAGACCATCAATACCTGCTCATGTGAGTCACTGGAAGAAATTAAGACAATTACATAAACATACAAAGGAAAGATTAAACATCTTGTTAACAAATAGTAACCACTGCCCACATTGTAATCAAGAATCGGAACAAGATTCTTGGGAGAATAATGAACAATAGAAAAATGATTCATTGGGACAATTGAATCTTAAGACGGGGAAAAATGTAAAATAGTAAATTATATAAATCACGGGAAACAAACATATAAATCAGAAATGATTTACATGTATCACAAAGTGAAAATTGGGAAACAATTATCACGGAATAACTCAACAAGAAATACAGTCAGGGAGATTTCCAAATTTGGAAATCAATTCTAGAAATTTTTGTTGATCAATTCATATACGCTACAAATGAGTTTAGAAAACACTCCCCCGTTATGTTATGTCGCGTTTTTTTATATAAAACTTTAAAAAATAACTGTTAAATAATATTCTTTTGGATATATAGTTTCATAATCCCTGCTCATCCCCAAAGCTTTACAAAGTAGTTTTTTCAGAAATAAAACTTG